TAATTTCTTTTTAAAAATGAAAAAAATAAAAACTGTAAACAAATTAGACTCTCCCACATTTATATAAGAAGTTTAAATAAAAATTTTGAGAAATTTCGTCACATTTTTCAGAAGAAACTGAAAACGTTTTTAAGAAGAAACTGAAAAAAATTTGGTGTTTGTCGAATGATATAAAAAATAATTTTAATTTTTATCTTTTTGATTTTAAAACAACTTCATTAGAGAGACAGACAAATAAATGTGGTGGAGAAGATCTGATTTATATAAAAGATGCCATTGCTCATTGTATTAGGAATGATTTGAGCGTTTCTGACGGCGATAAAGAAATCGTAGCCATTGAAATTTTCAACAAAACAAAAAAAACAATATTCTCTTAAGCTGTTGTTACAGGTCAATTGATGGTGCGTCCGAAAATTTTAGCTTGTATTTACAACAAAAAATAATTAACAAAGGAATCTATGAAAAGAAAAAAAGTTATATAATAAGAGATTTAATTATGAACTGTTTACTATACAATTATGCCAATAAAGTAAAAAAATTTTATGATGAAATATTTTCAACGGGAGCAATTCCGCTGATAAATCGTCCAACTAGGGTAACACGAAACTCATTAACTCTTACTGATAATATTGTTACAACAGACATTTTCAATTACAGCATTCAAGGTATTGAAAATCTGATTTATCAGACCATTTTCCTATTTTCTTAACATTTAATGCCGGATCAACGCATACTTTAACAACAAATAAAATTACTAGAAAGCGTTATTTTACCAAAAAAAATCTCGAATCGTTCAAGTCTCAATATCTCTACTACATTGGGAGCATATTGACTTTAACGATAACGCAACCAACATTTGTAATAAATTCTTTGAAACTTTCTACTCAGTGTATGAAGCAAACTTTCCAGTTTACGAAAAAAGAATAAATACTAAAACATTAAATAGTCCCTGGATTACAAAAGGACTAAAGAAATCTTCCAGAACAAAACAAAAATTATACATAAAATATCTAAAAACAAAATATCCTGCAAGTGAAAAAATATATAAGAATTATAAAAATATCTTTGAGAAAATTCGAAAAAACTTGAAAAAAATCTATTATTCAAATCTTATCAAAAAACTTCAAAACAACTCAATCGGAGAAAAACTTTCAAACAAAATTCCGACTACTGATAACTCGTTTATAGACTTTTTATCCACTAGGCACGATCTAAATACTAACAATGAATTATTGCTTGAACTAACTCCCGAGGAGTTTGATAAAGCTTTTAAATCTCTTAAAAGAGATAAAGCTACTGGCTTTGACGAAATAAATAGTAACATAATTATATATTGCTACGAAAACAATTATATATTGCTACAAAAGCATTTGATACCGTCGATCATGAAGACAAAACAAAGTATATTCTGTTTCAACCATTATCGATTTTTGCCAAACTTTATGCCAAAACTATATATTGATAAAGTTGAAATAAAAAGAGAAACCGCCACAAAGTTTTTAGGAATAATTCTTGATAAAAATGTTACATGGAAAACTCATATTGACTACATTAACAATAAAGTTGCTAAAAGTATTGGCATCCTATTTAAAATCAGATATTTTTTAGATAAAAAGAGTTTAATGCAAATTTGTAAAGTTTTTATCTATAAATTTATTTATATAATTGTATTACGATTTATATAATTGTAAACTGTAACACGATATAAACAATAACAAAAGCAAAAACAAAAAAAAACAAAAAAAAAATTAGGCCACGACAGGTATGTGAAAGTAAATTGTTTGTATCTTTTGTAAGCTGGCAAACTCGTTTACCAGATGTTGGTAAACGAATTTGCCAGCTTACAAAAGATACAAGCAAATTACATTACGGGACTCATCCCTGAATCGAACATTTAACATTCGCAAAAACTCCAAAGAAATATTAGTGACACTTTCTTGGTCTATTTTAGGATGAGTTTTCAAAACTTCAACTGTCTCTTCACTGAATACTTACAAACAAGTGCCTAATTTTTTATAATTCTATTGGTTTAGGATTTATTGATGTTTCAATCAACTTACATAAATTTAATAATTCTTTTTTTATCAAGTGTATTTAAGTTAACTAAATCCAATTTGACCTAACTATTCTGTCAGCCAATTATTTCTTATACACTTCAAAAGATTGACAGTATAAGTTCCATTATGACATAATCAAGGTTTTCGATCTAATGTTTTAAATTTAGAATAAAAACTTAGCATTATTACTATCATTAATAATTGCAATTATTTAACCATTACATATAGAACTTTCTATGATGTCAACAAATAATTTGCATTGGTCTAGTTGAAAACCTGATGTTAGATTACTAACTGGTAAAACTGCTAAAAATTCAGCTCCACCATAAAGATTTTTAATCTTAAATGAAAGTACAATAGCAGCTAATATCTCTGGATAATTAACAGCTTTTCCAAAAATATTTCCACTTTAATATAATAATGCAGCTTTTACATAAACTTCATCTATCAATAAAACACAATTTCTTTTTTTTTCCTCAAAAAAAATTAAATCATCTTGAGAATTTATTTTTGAATTTATAAAAGTTAAAGTTCGAATACTTGGTAACTGATAATCACAACACAATGATTGTAAATGGATGGTTCGTTGCAAAATATTCAAAAGCCCTGGATATTATATCAGGCGAATAAACAATACAACCAACAGAATGATCTCCCTTTACAATTAGATGCTGAAATAATATTTGGGTTTTATGATCCTTATTTTTAACTTTTAGATAGCTAAGAGCTTCATTTAAAGTTGACTTTATAATAAATGAAGTTATTCTGTTTTTCGAAAGAGGTTTAACAGTACATTTTGAACCATAATCATATATTTCAAACATTAAACTTTGATTAATTACCAGCAAAAATAGTTGAACCCCCCAGTTGTAAGTAATTATATCATTTTCAGTAGACAAGTATTTTTAAATATCTTCAAATTATAAATTATCAATTATTTTATACTCTTCCAATTCATCCTTTTTATATATCTCTTTTTAGATACCTCTTTGTGAAGAAGTTTTTCTTATTTTGGGTGGTGGAGAATATTAACAACTTTTAGAGATATTTAGAAACACTAATCGAGGTTTAGTTGGTCTCAATTTACCACAATATAAAGTAAACTCAGCATCATCTGGCCAATGCAATTTACAAACAACGCTATATTTTGATAAAGACCAGTATGAGCAAGGGATACTCATAAACACGTTTTTTTCAGATACTTCACGAGAAAATTTGTATACAGATATTTTACAATCTGAAGACTTATAATATCAGCAACAGTTTGGTACGCAGCATTTTAAAGGCATAATAAATTACTTAATTTAAATTGTTTTGAAAACAGCTACCAAAACTTTACAACTTAAAACTTTTTTTTTTTTTTAATTTTTATTTAGCTGCCCCAAGAAGTCCTTACGGTCTTATCACAGAGCACCGCGGATGAGCATTCAATAGGAAGTTCACGCTTCCTTCCTAACCGATGTCGTAAAACTTACTGAGAGGAAAATTTGTATACAGATATTTTACAATCTGAAGACTTATAATATCAGCAACAGTTTGGTATGCAGCATTTTAAAGGCATAATAAATTACTTAATTTAAATTGTTTTGAAAACAGCTACCAAAACTTTACAACTTAAAACTTTTTTTTTTTTTAAATTTTTATTTAGCTGCCCCAAGAAGTCCTTACGGTCTTATCACAGAGCACCGCGGATGAGCATTCAATAGGAAGTTCACGCTTCCTTCCTAACCGATGTCGTAAAACTTACTGAGAGGTGGGGTTTGAACCACGGATCCTTTGATTCTGAGGCAAGTGTGCCACCACTGCGCCGCGGCTGTTTAAATGTTAAGATATCTCATGCTTCAGTGGATTCTTTTAAAATTCAACAATATTGAATACTATATATGTTTTAAATGATATACATAATCTGTATATCAGTTCTTTTCTTGTCTCTTTCACTAATTGATTATCTAATGTAATGTCACTTGGGAGGCTTTAATGACGATGGGAATTAGGAAGCTTTAATGCGAAAACTAATAAGCCATAAAAGCTTCTCTATGCTTGCATAATTTTTCAATAACAAAACAGCATAAAAATAAAATTATACTAAAAATGAAAATTTATCACAATAAACTTCATTTTATACTAAAAATTACAATTACAAAAATTATATTACAATTAAAATTCTTTGTTGCTGTCAAAAACGAACAACTCGCATGATTTCAACTTTGCTAATCGTTTTTTTCTTGTTGTAAACTTTATTTTATTAAAATAAGAAATTTATAAATATTTGAGTTCAAGGTTTTGAAAATTTTATAATCTTTTTACTAGTTTATATTAATAACAGCTTTTTTAATAAACAATAATAAAAACTTTTAATTTAATAAACAGCTTATTCAAAACCGGTCTTCAGTCAAGAAAATTCCCGGGCGTTGTCGAGGCCCTCTATTAAGAAGGCCCTGGTGTTTAGTAAAAAAGTTTTGATTTATAAATGGAAATTTTTTTATAAAAAATACTTATATTGCAAAATGACCCCTCCCCCTTTTTTTAATTAAAAACCTCACGTTTATTAGATTTGGACTAAAATTTCCACACCACCCACCCACCCATCCACACCGAAGTAAATTACGCGGAAACAAATTATTTTCTTCTAAGTAATCTGACACTTACAACTAAAACAACAATTTTATCTAAGACTTTAATATTTTCTTATTTTTTTTAAAAGTAAAAATGTAACTTTATCAAAGTTTTTTTCCTTAACGGATTAATGTGTTAAAAAATGGATCCCTGGTTATTTAAGAACCGTAATTTCAATGGGTTGTCTAAAAACTATTTTAGTTCAGCTGTCGAAAAAAATTATTATTAAAAAATTATAAAAAAAAAAAAAATCTAATTTATACCTAAAATTTCATACAATTTATAATCAAAAATTTAATGACCAAAATAAGATTAAAAAAACTTGAATTATTATTAAAAAGTATTTGTAATAAAGAACAATCTGTGTTACTATTTCTAAGCAAAAGAACGAAACATATAATTGTTCTATTTCATGATGGAAAAACTCGCTTAGTAATTATTTTTAACTCACTATGAATTAGCTTGTTTCTTTATTATCAACGTTTTCATCTGAGCTGGTAGGACTTACCATGGCAACACTATCATGAACGTTACAAGTGCAATTGCAACCAGTAACTGGGCAATGCAGATGATCTCTAAAATGAATTATTCTACTATAAATAAAACAACACACAAAATTTAAATAAAACTATAAATAAAACAACACGCGAAATTAAAAGTGTGCAATTTTAAATCTAAAAAAGTGTTAGAGATGGCAAACTAAAATACCGGGATTAATTGTTTAATCAGAAACGTGCAACTTACAAGCACATCATAAAATGTATGCATAGTTTTTGGTATAATATTCGTTTTATAGATGTAAATTGGCTGTTTTATTCACTGTGTTTTATCAAAAATTAAAATTAAAAATTTCATACAAAAATTATTGCTTTTCTACTAAACGTCTACTATAAAATATATACTATAAAACATATAGAATATGTATAAATTATAGAAAGTATAATAAAAATTTGTAAAAAAAAATTTGCAACGTTTGCTGATTGCAAGACCGAGAATTTTCAATCGAAAATATATCTTATTTTTATTTTGAATTGAAGTTCGGCCATGTTTTAATTTTAAATGTGTTCAAGACTCACAAAAATTTGTCGGTATAAATTGATGAAAATATCAATAAACGGAAAATTTATTTATCCGAGCTGATAGGATTTTATGTATTAAGTATAAATTGTTTTTGCATTAAATTCCATTAAAGTTATAGATCTGATAAAAACACGTAATTTGAAATTTGTAAAAAATTTTATTTTTTTAATTGGGGTTTAAAATAATCATGGCTAATTACGAAAAAAATCAATAGCGCAAATCTCATTTGAAAGCTTTCTTAAAAGGAAAAGATAAAACAATCATTTGCAATGAAAGTACACAAAAAGAAAAAAAAAATGCTGATAGCTCAAGCAGGCCTACATTCCCATTTACTGTCTATACATAAGCTTAAACATCACGATTGCAAGCATTAATCGTCCACTTCAGCTCTAAACATCACGATTACAAGCATTAATCGTCCACTTCAGCTCTAAATTCAAAAGCACTAGAAGAACCTCAAAATAAAAAACCGAAAATCACGAATTATTTTTCAACGTTCAAAAAATAAGAAAATCTATTCGAAGTTTGCACGTAAAAGATGGTAAATCATTTAGTAAAAGCTGTAATTCTATTGATATAGGAGCCGGGTCTGAGAATATAAAAATGTTCCAATCACGCTATGACTTTGGATAAATGGCGTTAAACTACGTACAAATTATAAAAAATAATAATAATAATAAATAGAAAACAACAACAAAAAAAAAAAAAAAAAAAAATTGATTAGATTTTAAGTGGCTTTAAATTTGATGAGTAGACTTTTTTTATGGAAGAATTCGAATGAGAACCTGTACTGAAAAACTATAAGAATAGCAGAAAAACTTCTAAACTTGAAAATTGAAAGACGATATCATTGATATTACGACTGATGGCACAAGTAAAAAACAAAGAAACTCGAATACTTTTTAACTGGAAGTTGCATAAGTTCAAATAAAAAAGAAACCAGTCACTAGAATTAAAAATTGTTGATAAAAATTCAGGTAAAGAAAACACTGGCTTAGCTAACACGGGATACAACATTTTGATTCGACTTTGATAAATATGATGACTTTATAATGATTTTAAGGATCAAATGATTTATTTTTAAGGTTGCACTCCAACCTATTAAACTTGATAAAAGTTAAATTGTAAAAAGGTTGAGAGTTCCTTTATCAAAAATGGCGAGTTTGGAAAGATCGCACATTTAATTGCAAAAATGAAAACGGGTTGCAAAACCATGATGGAGCTGATGCTTTAAAGATTTGACAATTTGAGAGTGTTAGACTCTTCTAGACTTACAATTGGATTGAAATATTAAAGTCTCGATTAAGATGAACGGAAATGATATAGAAATATGTCTGATTTATTAGTCGACTCTAGAAGCATTTTATCGAGAAGATCCTGTCGGTTTGAATGGATCTCGTCCGTAGAGGACCTATATCGACGAGAAACAACTTTAATTACAGCTGACATTGCATTAGAGCTTGTGTTGACCAAAATAAAACAATAATCCAAAATTGTAATTTAAACAGCAATCATATAATGCTTTGAATCACCAAATTGGAAAGAAAAGAACATCAGTATTTTTTTTATCCATGTAATGGCCAGACTAACTTATTTGAAAATACTAGATGTCTTTTTTACCAAATACAAGTACTCAAAACAAAAAAAATTACGATAGACTTGATAAAATATTTAAACAGATATAATAACTAAAACAGACGTAGTAATGTACAGCAGGACTTTATCAAACAATAAATATAAAAATAGTAAACAAATAAATAGAGTTACAGAAAAAGGACTGGCAACAATACAACAGCCACCTATAAAATTAGAAAGTATTACTCTTAAAATTAAAAATTCAGAAAATTTCGTTATTTGAAAATGAAAATATAAGAGGTAATCAACTTCAAAATGCAAATGATTATTATTTATACGAGCAACAAGCGTGAAATCCAAACGAGCGTTTCCAACGATTTGGTCGTTAAGCTCAAAATCGAACGCGATTAAACGACAAGAGTTTTTGGTTTTTTAAATGATATTTATGCATACTCAGTGTTCAAATTATTTTTCATTATCATTTTTATTTGTAATATTTTATGTATTTAATGAGTTGTTTTATAATTTTAACTATTTAAGTTCATTAATAAACAATTTTACTTAAATAATTTTATCATTAAATTTATAATTTCTTTTTTATAATTTCTTTACCTTTACGGGATTTCCCAGAGAAAATATTTCTCATCCCGAAATTGAGAACATCCGGGATACTTGCTATCCCTAAATACCACTCAAAAAATTTACGCTAGACACAATCACGTTTACAATTATAAAAACTTATCAAATATATATTTATTAAAACAGTACGTACGTAAACCATTCAATAAGATGAACAGAATGGCCACCATGTCTACACATTTGACACCAAGTAAACCAATTTAAGTATGGATTTACGACATTCTCAAATTTGGCGCGATTTCCTAAAAATCTCATAACGATAATTATAAAAATAATATTTGTTTTTTAAATACTTAACTTTTAATAAATGTTTAAATTACTAATATTGTTTTTTTAATTATTTTTAATTATTATAAATTCTGTTTCTAATTTAAATAAACGTTCGAAATATGAAAATTTCGAGATTAAATATATATCAAAATATAAAATGTTCGACGCGGTTAAACGCGTTATACTTTAAAACAGCAAAATGTGCAAAATATATTAATTTTATGAATGCTTTACCGCAATATTTTAATTTACAAGAAAATTATTTTAATAAAAAATTTGATTACCAAGTTTTTGCGTATGAGACGAGAGAGACCCCATATTTATCATGCAAATAGAACAACGCGGTAACGGCTGGCGACAGTTTGGACATGCCATGGCCTAAAAAGAATTTTCAAGCAATTTTAAAAATGCACTAAAGGAACACTTAAAAATATTATCTATATAATAAAAAGATATTATTGCAGTATTCATTTATACTTTGCTTTGTCGACTGTTGGTGCCCATTCCGTGTGGCTGACGAGAGCCACGCATTCCTCCTTTTAAAGAAAAACACATTTTAAAAACCATTATTTTGGAGTAAAAATAGAAAAATACTAAAAAGATAAAACAGTAAATCAATGAACCTGAAGAAATGAGATTATGAGACACCGCTTTTGAACAATATGTGCATGTAACGCTTATTTGTTGAGGAATTTTTCGATTACCGCAGGAACTCTGCACCAGTGCATCAAAATGCGATCTAAAAACATTTTGTAACACGTGGAAAAAAAAATACTAAATACATCATTATAAAAAAAAAAAAAAAGTCCCTCAATTTCTAAGATATTATAGGACTTTCAGATTCTGGTGGGGGTAGGGGGGTAGGGGGGGAGAAATGCATACCCCGAATACCCCCTCCTGTATCCGTCACTTATTAATTGCGTAGCAATACATAAACAATATCTGTCTTTAATAACTATAAACAATAAGTCAATCATAATTTTGTCTAAAATTAATTATGTAAACAAATCTAGTTTATATAAATTTATGCATATAGTTGTAATAGTACCTTTCATGCCATAAACGCCATCGATCAAGCAGGTCACGGTAACTAAATATTTAAAGTAATTTTATATTTAAAATATATATGCACTAGCGGTATATTAGTGAAATAATGCCATTACAATAATATATTATATATTTTAGTACAAAATAATTTGCGAAAACAATACATAAAAAAGCCTCGCTTACTTTTCAATCCAATTATTAACTCTTGGATCGCGCACAGCTTCGATAACTTTTGTGTTTAATACGATTAAAACAGCTGTTTGAACGTCACTGGTCTAAATATTTATTTTCAGAACTACTGACGAGTTAGTATTAAATGAAAATATCTTAATATAAATATTTACCTTGTTTATATAATTTTCAAGCAGATCTAAACCATCACTGGTAAGTCCGGTCAATAAGAGACCTTCAAGATTTCCAGTATTAATAAAGGTCGTGGTTTCGTTATCTATGAAACTTATTAGCTTAAAAATAAAAAAAAATGAAATTGTTTTTAAATTAAACTTTATTTTCATTACTAAAAATATAACTTCTAATAAATATGAGTATAAATACCTTAGAGTCATTTAAATAACGACATGCAAATGCCACTCTATCTTGAAGTTTGATTTCTTTCTCTTTCTATACCAATGAGAAATTAAAATTTATATTTCTAATGTCTCTATTTTTACTTTTGCGGACACAAAAGTGGATCTAAATGGAGGAAGTTTAGTATTTCTAACCCCCTCCAATCAGAGAGCCAATTTAAAAATATATACTGTGGTAACTAAAAAACCAAGACCCCTTTATGTGGTTAGAGGCGATTTTACGAATGAGGGGGGGGGCCCTCAAAAGTTCTCAAAACGAAAATTTAACCGACTCAATTGAGTCAAATAGCCGACTAAATTCGTAAAAAAACCGACTAAACTTGAAAATCATCTTTTTTGGGGAGGTGTAGCACTCCTCCCCTCACACACACCGTAAAATCGGCTCTGGGTGTGGCACATCGAGGGGTCCTGATAAACTGTTTTTACTTTAAGATAAACTTGATTATCAAATTATCACAATTTTTTAATAATCATAATTATCGTTTTTAACAATATTTTAACAATATTTTAACATTTTTTAACATCATTATTTTAATATCATTATTTTTTAGTAATTTTGTCTCCGATTGAATCAAAAACGGGATCAGTAAAACAAAAATTCCCACGCTTGATAGAATTCACGAAAAATAAATAATTTATGAAGCAATATGCAGGAGACCTTCTGCACATTAAAAAACATCTGCTTTAATCGCAAAAAAATAAAAAATGAAAACAATTTTAGTTTTAAAAAGAATTTAAATTGTAATTTATATATAGAGAAGAAAATTTACGCAACAAACGTTTTATTATACTTAATATGCACAAAAAAATAAAAAATAAAATTAAAAATAACTTTTTCTAAAAAATACCTCAAAGTGCAAAGTGCTTTAAAATGTAAAGTTTACATTTTTTTAATTCATTACAATATTCAGTTTTTCTATTTTTATAGTAGTTTTAGGTAAACTAATTTAGATATTTTTTTAACAAAAAAAACAAACGCATAAACTAAAAATAATATATATTGTAAAACAAGCTTATGGATTTTACTCAACCTTGGCGAGGAAGTGACCTAATACTTGAAATTGAAAACAAACCATTGCACGTGCACAAAAATATACTATCGATATGGTCGCCAGTCTTTGATAGAATGTTCAACTCGAGTTTTGTAGAAAAAAATACAGAAAAACTAAGCTTACCTGGAAAGAAATATAACGAGATTGAAGAAATGCTACATATAATTTATGACAGAAGAAAATATGTAACAGGTATATTTAAACCACAGCACTTCAAAAACTCACTACGCATGACACCAGTCTCAAAACCATACCACAAAATTTGACACTACATCACAGAGCTTTAAAATCACACCACATTAAAAAACTTTAAAACCATACCACAAAATTTGAAAATACAGAGCTTTAAAATCACAGTACATCAGAAAACTTTAAGACACCACACAGTTCAACTGATTCAAAAATGTTGTCATATAACGCTTGTCTAAAATGAGAAAATAGTTTTCAAAAGTCTAGGCATCTAGAAGGTGTAATAAGGAGTTCTAATGTCAACAATAAAAGCAATTTTCTATACAGTTATATATAAACTGTTTAGAATATCAGAATACATTCTAATACCCTTCACCAAAATAACGTCAAATAATTCTATAAATCTATTTAATCACAATATATCATTACAATGTCATAACTATATACTATGTCATATTTAACGACATAATATTTAGCAGGTGTAACTTTTTTTTCAGAATCTACTGCGGAGTTTCTATTCTCACTAGCTGACGAATACCAAATGGAACAACTACATGCAGTCTGTGTCGCATATCTAAAAAATGTACCAAAAATAGGAGTTAAAGTATGCAAATACCTAGAATTAGCAATGCGTTACAATGTTGATGAAATCAAAGAAGAGTGCCTTAATGCTGTTGATAAATTAACAACAGTTCAACTCGAACAAAGTTTAGAGTTCCAATGTCTTAATGATTCTATAAAATTTACAATTGCTAAAAAAAGAACTATGTATTTGGAGGAGCAACTAAATAATTACATTAAACATGTAGACTCAATGCTTAACTATTTATACTCTTCTGCCCATCAATCTTTAGAGCTTTTTTTTACTGAACTTGGGTTAGAAGACTCAGTATTTAACAAATGCGACCAACATGAACAACACAGAAGGCTAAGAGCAGGCCTAAAATTTGATTATTCCTGTATTTCTTGTAGAAAACGTGTACTAACATCAAGACAGTTTAAAGTTACTGCAAGTGAGATTAGTGATATACTTGAATCATTATATAAATTAAATATACAAAATAGTACAACAAACTGATTTTCAAATGTTTTTAAAGCAAAAAAACTTACTATAACATTAATGTAGTTATCATCTTCCGCAGTAAGAAATGCAAAAATAGCTCGTAAGTAAGGGTTTTTTAACTAAAATAAAAAGCCCTTTAATTAATTTTTTTATTCAATTAGAAAATGCAACACAAATACCCTCCTAATATCAGGGTAAAACTTAATACTTGCGTGCTTAGGAGCTTGCAGTTAGAAACCCACAATGGTGGCCGCTTTTCAGAGAAACCAGATAATGCCATAGCAACAATTGGAAGAGATGAGTCTAAAAACATGAGTATGTAAACTAAAACAAATTTATCAAAGACTTTTGAACCATGTCTTTTTCACATTTGTTTGAATGATTAAATGTTAAAAAATGAAGATTCAAATTAATAGCATCACTGTATTTATATTTTTAAATTTTTATTTGAATTATTTATTCTGTTATATATTATACAATTTGGTATAATACCACTGCAGTATTTAAAATTCAGTTATATCACACTGTTCTGTATATCATCATAATCATCATCATGATCATCATTATCATCATCACCATCATCATTATCTTCATCCTCTTTATTGTCTTCATCATCTTTATTGTCATCATCATCATCGTCATTATCCTCCTCCTCCTCATCTTTATTGTTACTGTAAACATAATCATTACATTCATAGTTGTCATCGCCATCATTATCATCATCATCATTGTCATCATCATCATCATCATCATTGTCATCATCATCATCATCATCATCATCATCATCATCATCATCATCATCATCATCATCACCAGCTTTGTACGATGCAATGAGCAAGCTTTGTGTATTTTCCAGATTTATATTAAGAATAGCTGTATAGCTTTAGTTTTAAAAAAATGTTATGAAAAAACTTATTCACTAATAAAACAGTTAAATACTGTTAAAAACTAACAACAAAAAAAATCTTTTTGATCTGGCTAGTAATCCCTGCCAATTTGACTATTTAAATGGAGAAAGAACTAGTTTGCTAATAAGCCCAAATTTAGCCAGGCTGGTGTCCGGTTGGCTATTAATTTATTTTCAAAATAAAAACATCAATAAATATACTTACCAGTAGGTGTGTTTTTTGAAAGTTTTTCCAAAGGATTATAACTAAGTAATTCAATTGCTAAATGCAGTCTATTGTTAAAGAGTGCCATCGCTGCTGCTCTCTCAGGTTCTCCATCCATTGTTAACTTGTAAAGTTTATCTTTTATTTGAGCCTCACCAACATCCCAATCACATAACTTAAGTGCAGATGTTCTAAATATCAAATTGCTTAAATTAAAATATTATGCAATAATATTTTAATTTAAGAAATAATATGCATTTTATTTTAAATAATATAAAATGTTATTGCATTTTATTTAATTAAAAAATATATATATTATTATAGCAAAAAAAAAAAAAAATCAATTATATTGTTGTTGTAATGTTATTGTTACTTTTATGAGTTAACTTGTTTTTTTTTAATTAAATTTAGCATTCCGAGAATTTGGAGAAACTTCAGTCAACTCTCAACTTTAAACTCCAAAACAAAACCTTATGAAACAAGACTGCTGCAGAGAGAAACAGGTTGAATGAGGCCACTGCAGAGAGAAACAGGTTAAATGAGGCAGCTGCAGAGAGAAACAGGTTAAACGAGATTGCTGCAAAGAGAAACAAGTTAAATGAGGCTGCTACAGAGAGAAACAGGTTGAGCAGCAGTTTTTTTTCAAAACAATTTTGAATGTTATTTGAAAGTAAAAATCTGAATCTTGTTTGAAAGAAAAAGTTTTTCTTAATCCATGGGAGAGGTAATAAGATCAGACTTATATATGAGAATTAGGTTAGGTTTGCTTATGTTAATAACAATATTAAAGATTTTCTTTAAATAATACATTTGTGTCAATACCTTTCAATGATAAAAAGATGCTTGTTCTGAAAAGAGTTTTGTGAAAAAAGATGAAAGAAATGATTATAATTAAAAATAGTAATTTAAGAAATACATAAGAGAAAACCATGAGATAGAGTTAGTCTTGACTTGAAACTAACAAAGAGTTAAAAGCTTTTGTATATCTCTAAAATAAAGAGATTACATAGAAGGTTTTTAAAAGAGTTTTTAAAAGAACTAAAAAAAAAAAAGAGAAATTAGCCCAAGAGCTATTACAAAGAAAATCATAAACAGAACTTTTATCAGCTAAGGTAATAGTAAATCCCAATAAGCTGTAAGATATAGGAAAATATGAAATGTATGTAAAAGGAATATGAGATAAAACCTTGAGTGAGATCATAGCATGGTCTGAACCATAGAAGGAAGACTAAAAAAAAGCTGAGAAGATGCTATGGTCAGAGACAAGGATTAAGGTTACCAATAATAAAAAAAAAGTTATAAATAAAAACAATATTAGCAGATAAAAGGAAAACACTTGGTCAATTCAAGCACTAAGATAAAGTTTACCAATAAATAAAAAATTTATCAATAAAAACAATTTCAGCAGATAAAAGGAAAAGACTCAAACAACTTTATAAAAAATCATATTGAAAAGGCTTGAGAGATAAAAATGATAAAAAGATCTTTTCCAGAGAGATTTTTCTAATGGAAAAGATAAAAGAAATGATTATGATTAGAAACAGCACAAGAAGTAGAAAACCATGGCAACCATAGAAAACCATGGCTACAATAGAAGACAATGGGGTGGAGTAAGGCTTGACTTTTAACTGATTAAAAAGTATAAAAGTTTTTATGCCGGCCTGAATCCAAGTTAAAAATGAGGCATAATTTTGGCAAAGAAATGGAAATGACAAAAAAATTTTAGTCAGTCTTCAGTTAATAGTAAAAAGTGTGATGATAGGATGAATATGAAGTACAAGTATGGGAAACTGGTATAAGGTATAAAAAGTTAAAAGAGAAAAAAAAAAAAAATGAACACAAGCTTGTGTTAGAGAAAAAAAAAATGAACACAAATTTAGGTTAGAGAAAAAAACACAAATTAATAAGTAGAAAACAAAATTAAATTTTTATGTTGCTTTTAATTATTTAAAAACTTGTAACAAAAATTCAAAATAAAAAAATAACAAAAACATATAAAACTATAATTTCAAAGATATACCACTTTTTCAATAAAATAAGAAAAAAAAAACTTTTTTCCTGCTTCGTACATCTTTTTTATATCACAACTTATATCACTGTTATATTACCCAAAACAAATTTTTAACCACTCATTTGGCTTAAATTTGTCTGGCTTTGTTACAGTGTTTGGTTGGTCTTATTGCAATATTCATTAATGTATTACTTATCTGCTGATTTTCATATTATTACTATGAATTTTTATGTTATATTATCTTGCATTTATTACTCAACTTTATTTTAATTTTCATATGTACAATTTCCATCTTTTATTATTATTCAGAGAATTTTTCTATATCCTTCATTAAATGTTTACATTTATGCCGGTGACATTTTTAAGGTTTTTGTGCAACGATTTTTTTTTGCAATCATATATTGTTCAAATATTGTTATGATTTTGGGTTTCGCAGGTTGCTCATTTTACTACACTTTTGATTGGTTATCATATTTCGAATGAGGTATCTATGACAGCGTTAGAGTTTATTTAAGGCTATTGTTGTTTTGTTAATAAAAATTTATTTTTTTAATGATATATACTGCTTTCTGATTATCTTTAGCTTGTTTATGCTAATAATACATATTTGGTTTTATATCTTAAATTAAACTTTTAAATTTTAATTTATTGTGTTTTCATGTTTTCTTTCGGTGCTATGGTAAGTGATTATTTAGTTATTTTTATTTATATTGTACAATAGATACACTTTTTACATCATATCATTAAAAAAAATATTAGTGTTTTACAAATTTGGGTATGGTTGGGTTTTGGCTATTTGTAGTGAGCCCTTTTTGACTGCAGTATGGATAAGGCATAAGTCGCGGGGTAAAACATAAGTGGCGATGATATTTGTCTGACGGGATAAACTAGTAATAAATGCCGATCCTCATCGAAACGCCACTAATAATAGACGCAACTCTGAGGAGATGTTTATTACTTAATCACTACACAAATTATGTTTACACATTAAAATTAATGTTTTTTTTTCCATTCATAGGCCTTCCATTGTTGTTAGCATACTTTTTATTTTGTAATTGGTTTTTTGTTTTACAAGTTTTTTGTCTAGTTATGTATTTGTTGTATATCTTTGTTCATATTAGCGTTGATAAAACTATTTTTTTCCTTTTTTTTTTTATTATTGTTATTGTTGTTGAGTACTGTTTAGGGTGTATAGTCTGCCATATTTATTTTTAAATATTCCTCTATTAATCTTTATTTTTGTCTTGACAACTATTAAAATATGCTTTGTTCAATAAATAATTCTCCCTTATTCTAATGTACTTTATTTCTTCCCTCAGGCGTTCACTGCTTGTGTGTGACCGTTCAGCGAATTTTATATGCTAAGTATATTTTTTAAACTTTGCATCAAAATACCATTATAAATTTTTATTTTGTCATTGTTATTTCTTATTTTATTAAACTAAAGGTTTTAAATGTCATGAAGCCAAGTCATTTTAGGAAACCAGATCAATATTAAAATTGTGATATCTCGTGAATTCAAATGCTCCACATTTTCAGCTGAAAGTTTGCATAAAATATTTTTTTTTTAAATTAGAAGTTAAGTTTCGAAATATGAAACAAAAGGAAGACAAATGGACTTACTGATTTGATTTGGATTTACCATTTTTTTGACAAGGTTCAAAGCCTATTATTGATGCAGTTAAACCTGCCAAGCCTCTATCACAATGTTAAAATGTTGTACCTATCTTTTTTCTACAAATGCTACTTTGGTCACTGCTCAAAAAAAAAAAAAAGAAAAAAAAAAAAAAAGAAATAAAAAGCAATCACTCTTGTTTCACTTATCAAAATTTAATTTTTCATAACTTATAAACCAGCACATGCTTTAACTGTAACTGTTTCTTTATGCTAAAGAACGTTTTCCTATCACCAAGTTTTCATAATTATTATAATTTATAGCTTTTTATATTTTCTTTTAGAGGTTTTTTTGTTCTTTAACTGCCTTCTTTATTTCTTACTAATTCACAACTTAAATAACAAAGTTATGAGTGAACTTATGTTAACAACAACAACAACAACAACAAAACATTTTATAGTCCACAAAGCATGGTGGATGTCCAAAAAATTGTACTCCATCAAAATGGTCCTTCTTGAAGAGCAGATCTGTTTGTTGCCAGCAGGAACAATTACCACTGCTGCACAGCAGACAAAGTTATGCAGCTTTGTCACCTTTGTGTGTCTGATATACAGTGCCAGGTGAACAACGTAGGTCTGAAGTTGACACCCCATGGCATGATCTCTACCTTTATCAAAACCTTCTGAAGTACACACAAGTGAGTTCTGAAACATCTGTAAGCATTGAACATCATCTATGGTACCTATGTTCTGTGACATTGTTTTAAAGCCTGAATTGCAGTACTTAGCCGAGAAGCTTCTGGCAGCGAGGTTTAGTGATAGAATGGCTCTGCCGCATGATTGCGACAAAACTGGCTTCGGAAAACCCAAGTTTCTGACTGAAATCACTGCCACAACAAGACTTGAAGATTTGGTTACTGCAGATTCATAGTACATTTTCAGCCTTTTAGAGATGAATGTGGATTTTCTTAACAATAAGGTTGATTTTCTTAACAATAAGGTTGATTTTCTTAACAATAAGGTTGAACTGGCCAGTTCACCCTTCGTTTCTGTTATCAAAGATGAAGACGATTGATATCAATGTTATCAATGACAGTGTGGAACGCAGCGTGAAACTAACTGCAGACTTTCTAGATGCAGCCAAAACCAAGGTGAATTATCAGAACATTCTGCAAGTTGTTGAGGCTTACAGAAAATTCCAAGTTTGTGCAGCCATAAGAAGAAACAAGCAGTACCAACAGTTGAAGATCACAAAGATAATTTTATGAACTATATACCCATATTCCTAGAAGCTAAAAGGTACCTATTGTACTGTGTTCTGTTTGATACTGTAAATTTTGTCATACTTGTTTGGAATATTTGAGTATTCTTTTGTCCATAGGACAGTCTTTGCAGTAATTCCTGGAACTATAAGTAATTTTGTGTATACTAATTGTTTAAATGTAACCAATGCCAATGATAGTATTAATTACAGTTTATTGCAAAAAATATAGATATTTGTGTTCGTTGTGGATCCATTAAATTGCCATCGAAAAATCTCAAATTTTTACAGGAGTCATAATTTATGAAGTGGAACACAGGAATCATAGAGCCAAAACTGAAATAAATAGTTAAAAAAATTGTTGGGGTTTTGATGCACCCTACTAGATATATATATCTCTCTACTCTATTTTATATATATATATATATATATATATATATATATATATATATATATATATATATATATATATATATATATATATATATATATATTTAATGTAAATAACAATCATATTTTAAAAAATTATCATTTACTTTATAATATATATATATAATTAAATACTTACAAAATAATATAATATTAAACATAACACATCTAATTCAATAAAGTCTTTTTTCTAATTTAATACAAAAATGTTTGAAAAGTTACACAATTAAACTTATGAATTAAATTTAAAATAATTATGCTGTAGTGGTGTAGTGGTAGAGCGCTCGCTTCATAAACGAGTGGTTCCGAGTTCGATCCCCACCACGTCCCTGGTAGTACCGCGCTCAACTCGTTTCTCCGCGCAGCGGCCTTGTTCTTCAAGGTTCGTGTTTCGGAGTTATAGAGTTGAGAGAGGGTTATAGCCACAAAATAAGTAGCCCCCTCGTCTGTAGTGGCCTTCTCGGCCTTGAGGAGGTGAAGTAAAATAAAAAAAAAAAAAAAAAAAATTCATTCAGTTAAAATCAAAATAAATAAGTGGTTACCTTTCAACACTTGAGTAATGTTTCGGTGTCGAAGAATCTTCTTGCGAGTCAAAACTATTTTGCACTAATGAATAAAGAAAAAAAGAAAAACAAACAAGTTAAAAGATAAATTATTTAAACAAAAACAAAGAATAAAAAGTATAAGTAAAAAATAGTTAAAAAAAGTTCTTGAAAAAAAATAAAAGTTTGTTTTGTATAAAAAAACTTACCACTAGAGACCATATCTTCTTTGATTATAGCTTTTACTCCTAAAAAATGTCTTGTTTTTCGTGCATCTAAAATTATTTTAATTTTCAATATGTTAAACAACTTTTAAATTTCAAGAAATTTTACATTTTATTGTGAGCACTAAATTGATTTCTTTTTTCTAACTTTTCAGTTAATTTAAATTAAATTAAAGTTAATTTAAATTAAATTAAAATTTAATTTAAATTAAAATTCAATTTAATAACTATCAATGATAGTGCATCATCACTATCAGTGGTAGTCATGGTGCACTTATCTTATGTGCAAACCCTACCAACAACACCTGGTACAGCTTACCAACAGCACCTGGTACAACTACAGATTACTGGCTTTTTACAGCTTTTAAAGTTTCTGTAAAGATATTTGAAGATATCTATTAAAAACTGGTTATATACAATATTTTAACTAGCCACCCTCAAATTTTGAAAAAAAAATTTGTAAATAACTAAAAAAAAAGATTTGAAAAATTCAAACAAAAAAATTTTTGAATTTTTTTGTGAACTTGCAACTGCTATTTAAGTTGGGACAAAAAGCAAAGAAGAAAACTAAAGACCAAAAAAACAATTGACAAAAAAACCTAAAAAACTCTAAATTCGTATGAGTCAGGAAA